CCTCCATAAAGGTGGCCTATTGTCCTAGAATTATCTGCTGATGCTTTTCTCCACTGACACATAATGCCACATTGGTCATACATAGTTGGATTCTTATTTATACAGGGGTCTATTTATGGACTTAATTCTGTTCCACTGGTCTGTTTGACTGCTTCTAAGTCAAACTTAGCTTTACAGTAAGTCTTGATTTCTGGAGGGCTAGTCCTCCTTTCTTATTCCTCTTCGAAATTATACTTGCTATTTTTTGGTCCTTTACTGTTCAGATAAATTTTAGTGTCAGCGTATGAAATTATATAGAAAACATCCTAGTTGGATTTTGTTTAACATCCCGTTACAGGTTTCTGGAAAAGCCAGCATTTGAAATAAAATTGGATTTTCTCATCAATGAATATGGTATAATGTAGGATCCATGTAGGTCTTTTCAAAAATATTTCCTTCAATAAAATTTTATATTTTTCTTCATAAAGGTCTTGTATAGCTTTGCTAAGATCAATTCATGGGTAAGTTTTCTTGCTACTGTAAATGCATTTTTTTCTTTATATTACATTCTTCTAATTGGTTATTGCTTATGAATAGGAAAGCTATTGATTAATGAATGTTGATCTTGGATCCAGCAACTTGACTAAACTCTCTTATTTGTTTTAATTGCTTATATATTTTCTATGTATACAGTCATATTATCTGCAACAAATAATTACAACTTTTTTTTTCATTTCACTCATTGGACCTTGTTTATTCTTTTATTTTGTCTTATTACATTGGCTAGAGCCCCCAGAACTATGTTGAATAGAAGTGGTAATAATGAGTATTCTTGTTTTCTTGCTGACTTTAAACCAACGCTCCTAAAACTTAACCACTATCTATGATTGAGCCACTGGTCTGGTTTAGCTATCCATTGTCAGATTAAAGCCATTTTCTTTTATTCCTAGTTTGGTACTTTAGGAAGAGTCATGACTGGGGATTGAATTTTGTAAAATGCCTCCTCTGCTCCTTTGATTGGTAAAACTAAGTCTTCCGGGTATGCTGGAAAATAATCTGTGCTTGGGGCACCTGGGTGGCTCAGTCATTAAGCGTCTGCCTTGGGTCCAGGTCATGATCCCAGGGTCCTGGGATCGAGCCCCGCATCGGGCTCCCTGCTCCGCGGGAAGCCTGCTTCTCCCTCTCCCACGCCCCCTGCTTGTGTTCCCTCTCTCGCTGTGTCTCTCTCTGTCAAATAAATCAAATCTTAAAAAAGAAAAGAATCTGTGCTCTTCAATAGTTGGTTATAGGGTTTGATGGGCTCAAGCTTGCAAATTATGCTATTCAAATCTTCTATATCCTTATAAATTACTCTTGGCTTGATCTACCAGTTTCTGTTAGTGGGATGTCAAAGACTCCTGTTCCTCCTTGTAATTTTGTCAATTTTTGCTCTATGTAGTTTTGGGCTTTTGTTCTGAGCTTGGGACCTCCCTACTCTGCCTTTAAAGTTTTTAAATTTATGACATTAAAGGATTCCCCTCCCTCCCTTCCTTCCTTCCATTTTTCCAACCTTCCTTCCTTCCTCCCTTCTGTCCTCCCTCCCTTCCTTTCTTCTTTCTTTTTCTTTCTAGGTAAGCTAGTAAATTTGTTTTAGTTTAATTTTATCCACGATGTCTCAGTGTCCACATGGTTAAAGGGAATCCTTATTAGTTTGCTGTTTCATTTGCCAGCACTGAAAATTCCAGACCTGCTTTTTTCAAACCGTGTAACCTATTGTCAGCACACGGTTGCATCAGGCAGCTATAATATCAAGGAGAGACAAAGGCTCCAGCCCCATCTGACTTTCATCCAGCCTCCACAGTCCAGGAGGTCCCGAGAGCCCGCTTCTGAGCCATCAACCCTGCCCTGTCTGATCTGCCTGGAAGAGAGCTGAGTCGGGGTCAGGGTGAGCGCACCGTGGAGTTTTCTGGGCCCCGACTAATGGTGACCTAATGGACACGAGCAAGGCCTGAGCTGGGCAAGGATGGAGTTGGGGAGGGGGCTTCTTATCTTTCACTTTCCCACTTACGCTCTTCACTTTGAGATCACTGATCTCCTCCTCTGCCCTGAGATCAGCTCTTTCCCACTCTGGCTGAGAAAGTTCTATATGGGTAAGCATTGTCTTATTGGTTTTTGCATTCCAGCACCTAGAACCACGCCTGTCATATTAATTCTCACTACATAAATGTTGGTTGGATGGATGGGTGGATACAAGGATAGTTTGACAGTTGGGTGGATGGATGGATAGAAAGATGAGCGAGTGGGGGATGGATGGATGGATGGATGGATGGATGGGTGAGTTCTAGGTTCTCAAGGGAGGAGGCTGGTTTCCATGGCTTTTCTTGGCTGCCTCTTTCCATGAAGAATTTTTTCACCCGTACTGTTGAAGGAGCAGGAGCCCTCATCCTCTGGATTCTAATCTTCCAAATATCAGTCCTGCCCTCCCTGAAAGTATGCTAGGGATTTAGGGGAGAGGGAGATGTGATTTGGGTGACTCATGGTGAGTCTCTTGCCCTTTCTGGGCTTAATTGTCCCATTCATAAAATTAAGAGCTCAGTAGAGGACCTCTTCAAACACAAAAGGTCCAATTTTAGGGTAATGTTTAAAAACGTTGCACAGGTACTGGAATAGAGTGCATTTTATATTGTTATCATAAGAAAAAGAAAATGATGCATAACCAGGCAAATTTTTAAAATATTAATGTTTGTTTGCTATACTTTACATTAAAAATAATGTTCATTTTCAAGCACTGCATTCTTGGAAAAAAAAAGTACACTCCATCATGATGAAATACTTGATGGCCAGGTTATACCATTTAGCATTCTTGCTAAGGATCTGTCCAGCTGCAGTATCCAGGGATCTGCAGCTCTGTACCTTCTCATAGATGCTAAAATTAGGAGAGTCACTGCCCATGTTGGGGTTGAGCAGCTTACGGGTGGGGAAAGGGGATAGAGAGAGGCCAGGAGGCCTGCGGCCTGGTCAACTGTGGCTTGGGATGACCTGGACACTTGTACATAATCTGATGTGGACTAAAAGCATGAAAGCTGCCTTCTCGCAACCATACCCTCCCCATTTTTAAAAACGGATCTCCTTGCTTTGAGCAATGGCAGAGTTGACAGAACTCCAGAAGTCAGCCCACTTCTTGGCTTCAATTACGAGCATCCAGATGCCCTGCTCCCAGAGAAATAGAATAATCTCAAGCCAGGACCACCCCGGGGCCACTGAAGTCCTGGGAGCTGCCCTCCAGGGAAGCTGGTCTAGCTGGACAGACGGACAGGTATGGTGACATGTGGCCAATGCCAGGACTGACTGGGCCTGCGTTTCTGCAGGGTAAGGTTAGGGGTGACTTCGAAAATAGTATCAAGGCCTCCCTTCCCATTTGCTGTGAGTGGGCCCCTCGCCTTGGACTAGAAGAGCCCCTCACCAACGTACAGGTGCCGAGGAGTCAGCGAGGGGCTGTTAAAATGCAGATTCAGCGGCAGCAGGACTGAGATTCGAGGTTTCTAACAAGCTGGCTGGGAAGCAGAGCAGAGTGGTGGGTGAGAGGCGGAGGCGGGAGCACGCAATGGGACCATCCGCGTGGAGAGGCTTGGCGAGCCGTGTAAGGGACAATGGTGGTGACAACAGGCGGGAGGCAAGGCGCTTGCAGCTGGGGCCTGGGATGTGTCGCCCCAGCGCGGACAGAGTCAAATTTGGGGCTCTATGGCCTCCCCACCCTCGACTGGGAGCCTCCGGGGTTAGGACCAGATTTCGGTCGGCTCTACATCCTTGCCTGTGCCCAGGACATCTGGGTACAACAGCCTTCCAGAGGTTGTTTCCCCCCCCTCAGAAATGGTCGTAACCACCTCTGCCAGGGCAAGACTGTAGGTGAGCCTTCTCTGATAGACATGCTGCTTGTCCTCTCCCTGAGGCTTACAAGCCCAACTCCTATCTTAGCACCGGTAGGCAATCCCCAGGCGGGTCCTGGGCACATGCACAATCTTCTGGCCAGAGCCCATCAGCTGGCCCTCTATCCCTCTGCTTCAATGCACCAGCGTGGACAGAGGAGTGTGATGTTCTACTGAAGTCCATGCAACCAATACAGACCTATTGGCCACACAGCGGCCCCAGATCGGCATTCCTCCTCCTACCTGCTCTACCTGCTGGAAGCTCCTCTAGAAGCCTGAGTGGACATCCCTCTCCAGCTGGACAATCCCTCTGTGCATGCAGTCCAGCTGTCCTTTCTAGGCTAATAGACTGCTTTATTCTCCTTTTTAAAAACGTCGTTATTCCCTTTTTTTGTGTAAAACGACAGTGGATTTAGTGGATTTAGAAGGACTTTGACCAAATACGGAGTTGGAAACCATGTCAGTCCCCAGCTTTAGGAGAGGTCTCTACTGGGTGCAGGAAATCCCAGAGCCTAGGAAGCACCCTAGCCCAGCCCTGCCTCCGAGGGTACTGGCCAGCACGTCCTATCCTACCCCTTCTGCAAAATCCCCCCTCCAAACGCCTTTACCCACAGCTTTGTGAACCGGAGACTGAGGTCCCCCGTGTGACATCTAACTTGAGACGTAAGATGGTGAAGGCTTTCAGAGTCCAGATGTTCATAGACATTTTACACTTGAAGTTCTTCGCATTTCATTTTTTGCCAAAACGTCTTGCACGGACGACTGTCTAGTAAGAATCTGGTGTAAATCCTCGGTCCTCCCCTCGGGGAACTTTATCCTGCATGCGCATCCAGAGGAAATCCCGGCTCCCACCCACCACTCCCCAGTGTGGAGACGGGAAGGCAGCCTGGGGAAGGCAGGGAGAACACTCCCCCTCACCATCCTGCGAGATCAGACTTTTAGGGGTTGGGGGCAGCGCGGGAAGTGCTTTGAAATGACAAGAGCTTCTGTCTAGGGATGACAAGGGAAATCACCCAGAATCCAGGGCGTGAGGGTGACAGTGGTCCCCCTCTTTTCGGGGAGGTCTGACAAACGGGGGGGGTGTAGAGGCAATAAAACACAACAATCAAACCAACCTTTAAATAGCAACTTTTAAAAATATAAAAACAGCTCATTACAATGACTTTTCATTTTCTTTTTTTCTTCAGGAATCAACTTTCTTCTACCCTCACCCTCCCTTGTGGCTAGAGCCTTTAACAAGACACGGCAGATGCACATCCAAGACCCAGAGAAAGAGAGAAATTCTCCAGACGGCCCCTCCCCCACCTCAGAAAGGTACAGGGCGCCCGGCCAGTCTCCGTGGCCTCTGCGTGGCCTCTCCACGGCCTCTGGGTCATGTCAGGGGAGCTGCTAGCCTGGAGCAAGATCACTGAAGACCAGCAGTTTCCACTGGGGCCCCTTCCTCCCTTCTCACCAGACGGAATCACACATTATAAAATAATCCATAAAAATGCAGTATCAAAATTATCTTCCATATGCTACATCCATGGAGAGCCCACCACCAGGACTCACATCGGCCTTTAGCTTTTCCTTAAAAGAAGAAAAAAAAAGACCAAGAAGAAGAAGGAAAAAAAAATAATAATAAACCCAAGTCCTAATACCTCAGAACATTTTGGTACCAAAGAGCGGTACCTGCAGGAGACAATTTTTCTACCTGTAACCTGTTTGGGCTCCAAAGAGACTGAAAGCCGCAAGAAGTCACCACAGTGCCAAGACCGGTGTCCCCACCCGACCCCTGGTCCCCTCAGCCCTGTTGTGCTGCCCGGGGTGGGCGGGGGGGAGACTGTCCCTTCGGACTCACAACCCTTGCAGGTTGATTACACTTTTCCCCTCTAGGGAGAGAGGATGGGGTCAGAGGCAGGAAAAGGGGAGAAGGCATTTTTATAAAGGACATCAATTCTAATTCTTTTTATTAAAAAAAAAAAAAAAAAAAGCACCCACATCAGTTGCTATTTTTCTCTGGTAGCTCCCTGAGCTGAGTTGCTATGCTTTCCTCTAACTTTTTGTCCTTTGAAGGTTGTGTCCGAAGATCAAGAAGGGCCAGAGATGGAGTTCCTTCGCGCCTCCACCTCCCATCACCAAACCAAGTGCGCACCAAAGAGAGAGAGCGAGCGAGCGAGGCGAGAAGGAAAGGGAGAGCAAGAGTCGGACCCCTGAGAGAGAGGGAGGAGAGCGCAGGCGGCCACAGAGAATCCGACCTTCGTCAGCCTGGCTGGCCACCATGCAAGCCTTGCCCGGCTGCCCGTGCAGCCTGCGAGGGTCCCGAAAGGCCTTGGGCTGCTCCCAAGTCCACAGGGAGGTGCGTTCGTCCCAGGAACCCCCACTCCTCCTGGTCAGGCTGGTCACCAGCTGCAGCTCCCTTCCTCTGCCCCTCCACTCCCTCTCCATTTGGCTCCCCCTCCCTGCCTCCCCTTCCCAGATGGGGATGTCCCTTTAAAAAAAAAAAAAAAGCCACCACCACGAGTGGGTTACAAATACAGCAGGCGAAGTACACGGCTAGCGTTTTCGGTGGGAAGGGGCCTCCTCCCCCACTGACCAGTCCGAGATAGAGGAGTCTGTTATTTACATTTTTCACAAATGTTGTGCGCTGCACAATCGGGAAAATGAGATCCCCCCCTCCCCCAGCACAAACACCTGGTCCACTCCAGTGTCCCCGACCCAGGGCAGGGGGACAGAGCAAAAGAGAGGGGAAGGAAAGATGGAGATTCACGAGGGCGTCTGTCGGAGGGCTGGAGCCCCAAGCCTCCAAAGAAATCTACTTGTAGCATCTGCCAGGGTTGTGGACAGGGAGGAGGAGAGACATCCATCAGAGTCCGTGAGACACAGGAGTCCATGCCCAGGGGTCCAGACCGTGGCGGGCGCGCCCTCTCGGCCTGCCGGAGCGCAGCCCTGGACTGCTCGGCTGCCCACCGCCAGCCTCCGCCAGCCTTGGGGCCCCTCGCGGGGTCGCCCTGTCACCGCCGAGTCTTTTTCTCCCAGAGTCTGACAGCCCAGTTAGAGTCCTTGTTTAGTAGATGACCTCATAAACCGTGGCCTTCTTGTCACCAGAGCCTGTTACAATATATTTGTCATCCGCCGAAATGTCACAACTCAAGACAGACGAGGATTCCTTGGACTGCAGGGCGAAGGTGAGGACAGGCAGGAGGGTGTGGGGAGGCAAAAAGGCAGAAATTCACTTTCCTGGTACGCAGCACGGTTTCCGCTGTCTGCGTCACACCCCGTCTGCCGGCCCCGGAGCTCCAACCCCAAGCGCACCCAGCACGGCCTCCCCCAAAGCAGCCTGGAGAGGCACTTTCGGGGACAGATGCCCCGTCCTTCGGCTTTTCCACCAGGAAAGGCTCATGACCAGGGCCCAGGGTGATCGTGGAGTTGTATGGCTCGAAAGAGAGCACTGGAGGACGAGCTTCTCCTCGGTTTACAGACAGGAAAGAGCACCTCTGAGCAGGGCATGGGCGTCAGTGGGCCGGAGCCAGGAAGGGGACCTCCGCCCGACCCGAAGCGTCCAGTGTAACGAGGGTTACACGTGTGACATGCTGGACACCACCCATTCCCAGCACGGATCCCGAAAGTGGCTTGTCGGCTGGGAGCACAGGAGCATACTGTGCGTGCGTGCGTGCGGTCAAGACTATGTGTAAGTGAGAGCTGTATGTCGGAACCCAGATCTTGAAAAACCATGAAAAGCCTCTTCCTGCTCTCCCATCTCTTTCCAGACCCTTTCTCTCCTACCCCCTCTCACTCCATACACTGAGGTGTCGAGATGAAACACAAACTTACTTGAACATCAGGGAACGCTGCTCTGAAAAGAGCTGCCCAGGGCACCTCCTGGGAGTGCTCAGGCCACAGGCCAGAGCCAAGAGCATGACTTAACTCCCCCTTGTTCTAGAAATCCCACAAGAACCCCCACTTAAAAGCCCTCACCCTATGGGTCAGACGCCACCAGCTGCAGTGTGTGTCCCGCTGATGTGTCCCAGGCCTTGGCTCTGGGAAACCCACCCTGGATCCCCAGCACGTAGGGGCTGGAAGGGGCCATCCCCATCCCCATCCCCAGGGGCAGGCCCCAACCCGGAGCAGCGGCCGGGCGGTGGGCGGTACCTGGAATATGCTGGCTCCGTATGGCGTCCTCCAGGCGTTGAGGAGATTGTCTTTCCCAGTGCTCACGAACCACTTGCCTGCAGGCGGGAGGCAAAGGAGCGTCAGCTTGGGGCTGGCTGCCCTGAAAGCGAGACCCGCCCCAGACGTGGCCGGCTGCCACGGAGATGTGGTGTCTGCCAGCCAGTGCTTAGGTAAGAGGCTTGGCTGGTGAGGGGCATTTCATAAGCGAGACCCGTATCTGACTCACAGACTGCCCCCCCGTCCCCTGCCCAGAACGCCTCTCTGCAATCACAGGGGCGCCTGGGTGGCTCAGTTGGTTAAGCGGCTGACTTTGGCTCAGGTCATGATCCCAGGGTCCTGGGATCGAGCCCCGCATCGGGCTCCCTGCTCAGTGGGGAGCCTGCTTCTCCCTCTGCCCCTCC